CTCGTGTATAGTGCAGTTGGAGACTGCATCGGCTGAAAAAAAGGAGAAAATTATTACAATCTTTGAAAAGCTTAAACTAATACCAATCGCTTCAGTTTAACGAAATGTATAATATTTTTGTAGTTCTACAAATAAAACACTATAAAGTGAATTTATTTCATTTTTTAAATCAACGATTTAAATCTCATCGAACGATATCTAATATTTTTAATTTATTTCATTCTTGAAAATAAATAGATAATGAATTTATAAAATCAGACGATTATAAGATCAGAAAATCTTTTAATCGATTACATTTGTAGAAATTAATAGACAAATATGATTGATAATATATTTATGAAATCAGACGTTAAATTTTATTATATAAATTCTATTTTGTTTTTATAATAAATTTATAATAACGAATAAAATTTTAGATTTAGATTAGAATTATAGATTTACAGATTCGTTCGTTGAAATGAATGTGTTAAATAATTTGTTAATAGAATTAAACGTTCGACTTTATTACAATTACGTAATTCTCGAGTAACTTTTTCGGTAATAGAAAATTACAATAGTATAAAATTATAATTCGCGTTATCAACTTCGTTTTTCGAAATTACTGAATAGTTATCTCGGTGTGACGTAATTTCGTCAAAAAATTAAGTTAAATTAGACGATACCAGTATATGGGTCAATGTACGTTAACCTTTATGATATTTGATAAAAGAAAATAAGAAGAAATCAACGGGCAAATATTTCTAATTGATCTTACGTTGTTTGATATCAGTTTGATACAAATGTACTTAAAATAGATAAACATTGTTTTTCCTTGTAAGTAAATAATATCTAATCAAAATAAGCTATAATTCTTCAGTGCATTCTGAGTACTATCAAATGTACTGTCGAAGGTCGTTCGATTTGTTGATCTTTCGACTGTTTCGAATAACGTCGTTCTTATATTTTATTCAATTAATTGTTATTAGCAATTAAATACTTCTTCATCATTCAACAATTAACGATTCTATTTTCTTCTATTTCTACAAACATTTTAACGATAAGACATGACGAAATTATATATTAAGTTAAGATTGATATTTCCTTCTGTATACATATTTATTTAAAAAAAAAAAAAAAAAAAGAAAAGATGTTTCTTTGGAATTAATTAATATATTCTGATACTATTTTGAACAATTAACGTGTCTATGAAGTCGCTTGATTGCATGATTCACGTCGTGTGTCTACGGAGTAAAACTCATTAATGATCGAACCACGTAGAGTCAATTTATTTCTCACTTTTATCGTTTTTTGATTAATCTTTAAATAGTATTAAAGAAACAATTAATCGTAAGAAGAGAAAAAAAATTAATCGTATAAAATTAAATCGTTAATCATAGATTCAATAAAATATCGACTAAAGTTATATCTCAGATAATAAATTTCTTAGAATGGAGTTAACCCTGTGACATACAAAAATTATTAGAAAAAAGAAAAAAAAAAAAAAGAAAGAAAGAAAAAAACTATAAACGATAAAAGGAAACGATTGGGAAACATAGACCTTCGACTATTATTTTTTTTTCTCTTTCTATTTCTTTTTCTTTATTTTTCTTTTTCCCCTTTATCAAATTAAATCGAATAGTACTTGACGAAACACACTCACGGGATGGTTTGGGACACTCGCGAAAATGTACGACTTCCGCGTAGCTCTTGAACGATGACAAAGCCAGGAGCAGAGCAACAAAGACGAATTCACTGTTTCCGTTCATTCTCGGTCTACGGTACAGAGACGAGTGAAAGAAAAGCATCGTCGAGGGTCGCTACAAAAGGCGGATAACGATCGAGATAAAGAGAGAGAGAGAAAGAGAGAGAGAGAGAGAGAGAGAGAGAGAGAGTGAGAAAGAGAGAGAAGGGAGACGAGGCCATAGGTCAATTGAGATAGTATCTTAGCTCGTAAAGAAGCTATATCGGACTTACTATTCGCTTCTTCGTTCTCATCTTTATGACAAAGCTAAAAGTAGAACTCGTATAGGTAGTTACCAAACCGTTTTACGTTTCCTCTCAACGTCAAACTTTATCGACGTTGATTTTGAATATGTAGGGTATTCGATTACCGGGGATATTCCTCGAAATACGTTCGTTGGTAGATATTTATTCTCACGCGAATCAACGGATAACGCGTGACCCAGAAATGACGATGTCATTTGCTCGACCTCACTCTATTAAATCATCTTTCTCTCTTTTTCTCGCGTATAAGAAAACAGAATGCATGGAAACAATTTCTCTCTATCTCTCTCTCTCTCTCTTTCTCTCTCTCTGTTTTTCTCTTTGTCTTTCTTTCTCTCTTTGTCTCTCTCTCTCTCTCTCTCTCTCTCTCTCTCTTTGTCTCTCTCTTTCTCTCTTTTGTCATTAATCGATACGATCTAATTTTTGATTACAATGCTCTGTGAGATGAACTCGGAAATGTTATCGATATAAACGTGATTATCTCTTTTTTCTTATTTTTTCATTATTTTATTGTTATTATTATTATTGTTATTATTATTATTATTATTATTATTATTATTATTATTATTATTATTATTATTATTATTTATTTATTTACTTTTTTTAACGACAAATCTCGATTTATAAATCCTTTGACGTACTTAAATACATACGTATATCTATATGCACAAATATATATGTGTATATACATATATATATATATATATATATATATATATATATATACATGGAGCATATCGTCAGACGTTTGGCACGTTGACCCGAAGGCAGTTCACTCTATTTTCTTCGCGGCATGAGATCGGTCTGCTTTGATTCGTTGCGGACATAACAAACCTGTCGCAGTTGACGATGATCGTTAAATAAGAAGCTCTCCAACCCCCTCCGTTCCACCCTTTGACATCGTATCTTCTTATTCGTCTACTTGTCTCTATAATTCGAACCATTGGATCAAAGGAATTTGTCACGCATTATTGTACCAAACTGATTTATCGCTGTCCAGATTCGCTCAAAGGATCACCGACTACATCTAAATATCATCTAACCTACTGAAATAACATTTAGTTTCTTTTACATCGAATCCTTCGAAACAATAGCGGAGATACGCCAATGAGAGTGCTTGGCATTGTAATCAACGCTCTAATCTTCTAATCGTCTCAGCAGTTCTTACTCGTCAATTTGGATGGGTAATAATTATACCGGTCTGTTTAATTGAGCCGATTAAGTATTTGTCTCAGTCTCTTTCTCTCTTTCTCTCTCTCTCTCTCTCTCTGTCTCTCTCTGTCGCTCGTATGCACTCAACAGACACACACATACACGCAACAAGCAAACAAACAATCAAACGAAACAACAAACTCACTCACTTCCTTTGATACCCAATAACAGAATATGAAGTTTATCGGAGTTTATACTCGTAAATAATTCCGGGAGTTCGTTAGTAGACGATACAATTTGACAAAGAGAAAAAGAGAGAGAGAGAGAGAGAGAGAGAGAGAGAGAGAGAGAGAGAGATTGAATGAAAAAGAAAAATGTATGAGCGGGATTCGACAATCGTTCTTTTGTCCTCTCGCAAGGAAACGATCTCATCGCGTAGACTCGGAGAACGCGGGGAGAGAACTCGGCTCGAACGATGGCGTGGCCTCGGGTGGCCAATCAAAGAAGAGTCTGCTAGAAAAAATAAATGGCCACAATTGTTAAAGTGTGCATTTCCTGATAAAACTTATTTCTCACTTCTAAACGTTACCGATCGTTCGCAATTATTTTCGATTTCTTTTTTCTAAGTGAAAGAAGAAAAAAAAAATTTTAATATCCATTTCGAAATTTGCGAAAATAGTTCTTTGTTTTATTTTCTTATTTTTTTCTTCCTTTTTTTTTCTTTTTTTTTTTTGTTGAATTCGAATTCGAATTGACGATCGAACGAGAGAGAGAGAGAGAGAGAGAGAGAGAGAGAGAGAGAGGGAGAAGAAAAAAAAAGAAAAAAAATGAGTCGCGTTTTCGAGATCCCGATCGTTACTTTTCTATCGGTGTCGTTTTCTCAACGTCATTAAAATCGATCCGTCGATGATCATAAGCGAAATAATTACGATCGTCGAGGCGTCAATTACGTTCTCTGCCCGAGGTCAGGGGCCATAATAACAGATCACTTTGCTCGACTTACGGAACGGCGGTGTTCACGTTGAGGGAACACTGTTAACGCGTGATTATTCAATTGAAGAAGATTCCTGGTCACGTAGAAACTTTGTCGGTTCGTCAAAGCCACCTTTTCCCGCCAAACTTTGAATTTCTATACTCGATTCGTACTTCGTTCGATATGTCTATAGATAAATTCGATGTAACGATACCATATCTTTTGCTTGAGAAAGCTTATATCGAATCGTTTATTAAATACAAGATTTAACAACACAATAATAATAATAATAATAATAATAATAATAATAATAATAATAATAATAATAATAATAATAATAATAATAATAATAATAATAATAATAGTAATAATAATAATAATAATAATAATAATAATAATAATAATAATAATAATGATAATAATAATAATAATAATAATAATAATAATAATAATAATAATAATAATAATAATAATAATAATAATAATAATAATAAAATACAAATATTCTTAGCTATATGTCGTATATGTCATACGTCTCTCTTTGGCAAACATACATTTGCGGATCTTCATTTATAAGATGAGCTCGCAAGGTTACTTACGTGCTGTTCGTTTGGGAAACTTTAACTATAATATATTATAAAAATAACGCGGAAGGAATAACACAGGTCTCGTCTTGTTCCTTATGTTCATTTAAAATAATCGAGCCTTTTTTTTTTCCTCGATACTATCGCTACCTTATAATAATAGCTTAAATTAATAGATATTATTACCATTTGCTAACATTACTAAATGCTATTCTTATTAAGTACTATACACGTAATATATGCAAATAATAATAATAATATTAATAATAATAATAATTATCATTATTATTATTATTATTACCGTCGTCAAAGTGAATAATATTATATAAAAATGTTTTGTTCGATTTAAAGTCTATATGCTAATCCTTTCAGTCGGAGGCACACACAAACGTGCGTTTGATCCTATGTACATTTTGGTACGCTTTAAAACCTGTCAGATTGAATGAAGAAGAGAATATAAAAAAAATAAAGAAAAAGAGAAAGGGAGAAAAAGAGAGAGAAAGAGAGAGAGAGAGAGAGAAAAAGAAATAACATCATATAATAAAATTGGTCTCATTATCGACGAAGCGATAAAAGGGGACGTATCGTTTCATACGACGTAAACAGCGTCCTTGCACACGGATATCCTTGCCTCCTGTAGGATTCTCAGCCTTGGTCCCAAGGGTATTCCCATTTTTTGTAATCTCTCTTCGCTCAAGTAGGGCAACTCCACCATACCGACCTTCTCCTTCTCGAAGGCACTCGCGTATTTCTGTGAAGCAGGAAAACCAGTTCGTATCGAATTTAATGAGTTCATTGGAATTCCTCCAAGTTGTTTTTTTTTCTTCTTTTTCTATTTCTTTTTTTTTTATTTTTTTCTTATTCTTTTTTTTTTTTTTTTTTTTTATCATCATTTACCAACCTCATACCCAAGTTCCCTGAGGAAGAGTCTGATAAGGGGTGGTTCCGTTCCGAAAAACTTGGTCAGTTTTTTCACCCTCGATGGATTGGACAGAGCCGGTAATTCGGAGTCCTTTATCAATGGCTGCGACTGCGATCTCACCATCGCCATGCTCGTTTGGGTTCGAAGTGCCGCGATTTCCCCCCTTATGTTCTCCATTTCCTGCGAAAACCTGGTAGTAGTGGAGTCTTGCGACAGTCGCTTCGATTCCCGTTACAATTTTCGCGTTCTCGCTCACCTGCATCATCATGTGCTGGGTTCTCATTTCCGAGCTGAGATGTGCCACCGAACGTGCCAACGTCACCACGTGAGACTCCAACAGTTGAAATCTTTTGTTGATACTCTGAAATAAAAAGGAAATAAATTCAATTAAAGTTAATCCATCTCACATGTATTATTATTATTATTGTTATTATTATTATTATTATTATTATTATTATTATTATTATTATTATTATTATTGTTATTATTATTATTATTATTGTTATATTTCATTGACTCCTTGCTAACCTTGATGTCTTTGGCTTTTTTCATACGATCGTCGATCATATGCGATCTGCGTTTATCGTGATGTCTCGTGACTGGTCTAGAAGATACAGATGACGTTGGTAATGAAGAAACGGAACCGTAACTGGTCAGACCTCTCGTCTTTCGTCTCTTCTTCACGCTACCACCTAACAGTTTCAATACCTATAAAGAACGAACCGTAAAAATTCGAGAAGAAGTTTGTTTAATTAACGATTCATATATCGTAATTGGACAATTACCTCACTGTACATATTTTCCAGACCCTCCAATTGCTTCCTGATCGTTCTGGCGTCGTTGGTACTAAGATCGGAATCACTGCGGTCCAGCATCGAGTCCAAATCGAGTCCGGTCGTCGTAGACGTCAGATCAGCAACTTCCCAGTCAAAAACTAACGTAAGTTATATGCCGATATGTCTTTTTTATTAATCATACAAAATTTCTTTTGTTTTTCTGTTTCGTTTCTTTTTCTTTTATTTTTCTTATCATTTTTATTTATTTATTTATTTATTTATTTATTTATTTATTTATTTATTTATTTTTTGTTTTGTTTTTGTTTCTATTTCGTTTTTTTTTTCTGGAAACAAACATGCATAATAATCCATCAACTTACGATGAGAGAACTTTTTATTCGAATCCTTTTTCGATGTTGAAGCACCGCGATGTTTTGAGCTGCTTAGGAACCCTCTCTTCTCCATTGCTTTGCCATAATCACCGTAACTCGGCTTGGAACCATAAGGCAAGCTGAAAAAGATATTAATACTCGATCGATTATATCCTTTTAACGCTCAACGCGAAGTAAAGGGCCTGATTCGATCTAAACTTTACGGTTAAAAAAAAAAAATTCGAAGGTGATCCGACGCAATGACCGGAAGTAGCATCGTCGTTTATAGGAAGAAGGGATCCGTTTGAAGTCATGTTACCTCGCCGAGTATCGATTTCTTGGCGTCCGTGGGCTTTCATGGGGTGACAGAGGCGGTAAAGGCGGTGTCACGGACGATACACTTTCGGATAGAGTCGAGTGTGCCATTGCTGGAACGTCTCTTGGTTCTAAAATGCTTCTCAATTCGGATTCCACTATATCGACCCACTCTGAGTCTTGCGCTGTTATTAAGTAGGACAGAAAATATAATTTCTATAATCTACTTTCGTTTTAATGAAGATTATCTTCATTTTTTTCATTTATGAATTAGGCAAAATGATAGAGTTATTAGCCTCTTAAAGTTCTCTTTTTATTTATTAAATAACAAAAATTTAATAATATTTTACTGAGGAAAGGAATCGTCGAAAATAGAAAACGAAAGAAAAAAGAATCATAAAGTATCAATATATCAAGAATAAATGTATTATAATGATTATATATCTTTTTTTTTTTTTTTAAGATTATCCAACAGAAAAATTGTACGAAGATGAAATACAAAGTACGAACCTTGTGTCAAATTTCGATCCTCCGGAGGTGGTCGCCTTCCACTGGAATAAACCGCAGAACCCCTTCCAGAATCGACGTTCGATGAACTCTGACCGGCTTTATCGTAATCCGAGCCAGATCCTTGATTTTGAATCTTAAGCCGAGCGATACCCTGTTCCAGTTCATCCTTTCGACTGTCAGATTTCGTGGCAGAATCTTTTCCCGAATAGGAGGAACCAGCTTCTAGTCTCTTCGAAACATCCAACCCTAAAGTTTTCGAACTGGCTCCGATCCTCGTTGCCTCCATGTCGGATTCCTTCGATATTTTACCAACTATCGAATGATTATTATCGTGTTCGGTTCTCCTCTGCAACTCCTCGATCCTCTTTTGAACTGATATATTCTCCGGCGAATCTTGACTCTCCTGTTGAATAATATTAACCCCAGAATGTTCATGATCTCTCGTCGAGGATCTTATCATTTCGTCCCTATGTATACCAAAACTAGTTTCCGGCCTATAATCCTCTTTTCTCTGGGAACCATTCCTACCAAACTCGTTTTGTCCTCGATCTTCAACGGTTATCTCGTATTTCTCCTTGTCCAATGGATCCATCGTGTGATTTTTTAGCCCATCGACCACCGGATTTCTCGATGCCTCGCTAATAGCTCGTTCCTCTTCGTAAGAGAGCTGAGGTTGAGAGGCTGCCTTCTCTATTCCTTTTGCTGAATTTCGCCTTTGGAATTCTACCTCTTGATTGGTTTCCGACTTCATGTAGACTTGTGGTACACCGTACCTAGGCCTCCCTTGAGCATAATGATAATATACCTCTTGACTGGATATCCTTAATTCTTGAGTTTGTCTAGAGGTACTTGGTAGATCGATTTGCGACCTGGACATAGCCTGTCTAGCTTGCTGATACTGTTGGTACGATACGCTGTTCGAGAAATATGCCTGTTGTTGTTGTGGTTGAGCATTCCTCGCACCGCCTTGCTGTTGTCCTGCCATTTGTTGTTGATGCATTTGCTGAATCAACTGACGTTGGTGCATATTCTGAGCGTGCTGTTGCGCGAATCGTGGACTTTGGTGATGATTTTGGTTCTGATGCAATAACTGTTGGGTGCTTTGGTACGGTTGACTCATGTGCTGCATGGTATTTCCTACTTGTTGTTGTTGTTGTTGTTGTTGTTGTTGTTGCTGTTGTGGCTGTTGTTGTTGTTGTTGTTGTTGTTGTTGCTGTTGTTGTTGCTGTTGTTGCTGCATCGGTAATCCGTGCTGCTGCTGCTGTTGTTTCTGCACCGTGCTATTTTGGCCCTGTTATATATTTTTCAGAAGAATCTAATTAGATTACTTATATCTCGTGATATGAACGAAACTTCGACCATTATACCTGTCCCTGAGAAGGATTCGAATGAAGTCCTTGATGTGATTGTTGATTCGTCAATTCGACCGTCCCTTGAACGACGTAATCTCTGGCGACATTTTGCACCTGTTGACCACCTGGCGTTGATTGACCGAAAGAAGGTAGTTGAGTTTGATGGACCGTCTGTACTCCACTAACTGGAGCGTGATGGGTTACGTGAAGCTGTGCGCTCTGTCCCGGTAAGTTCGGCTGAAGTTGACCAGGTAGTGGTACGTTTTGTTGATTGCTCTGGTAACTGTACGAATGCCCGTATTGACCTAAATCATCGATATCATCGCAGATAGAACGTCTCCGATGTAACTACTCTCCGAGTACAGAACACGATCGAGGATCGAGGAAGTAACAGACAATCGGTCCAATTCTCATGCTGAAATTACAATTGTGTAACGAATATATACCACGATAAAATCCAATCCAATCGAATCACTCACGCGAGAGTTCTGTTATTTATCATGGGAGTTCGTTGCTCTGCGCATTGACCGAAGAAAAGTACGTAACGCGCGTTTCTCATTAATAAAGATGGCGCCGCTAATTATAGCAAGCTTCGCGATACGCTCGCTGTACATGCTTATTATTATTTATAATTCCACTCGGTCATCCACCGTGTCTTCGTTTTATTAATATTACTATTATTATTATTATTATTATTATTATTATTTTATTTTATAACTTTTTCTTTTTCTATTCGATTAATCATTTCATTTCTTTTTCTTTACTTTAACAATTATTTTTCTTTTCCTTCCTCGATCGAAGATCGATTGTTGTTTTATCGATTGTTCGATAAAAATCACGATCTAGTTCGTTTTACCGTAAGCGTTTTTAGGATATTGCTGCATGTTGACAGGAGGCTCTTGAGCACGAGGTTTCCCGTAAATGGCTTCTTTCTTTTTCGCTTCTTCCTCCTCGATACTCTTACTAGGTTTCCTTAACTCGTCAGCGGCGTTGTTCAAACTCGCTTCCGGTTCTGGCTCGACGTCCTTGCGATTCTGACCAAATCGACTGGATATCATGTCCTTGATCGTGTGATAGGTCCTTGACAAAGGCTTGGACTTCTCTTCGTCTATCTTTGTCGATCTTACGACTGCTCCGCTTGTGGTCGATCTAATAAGAAAGAAATTGTACCAAGATTTATTAGTTATTAGAAATTTGATCGAAAATTTTTAATCCTAGGATAACTTTCATTATCATTCGTTTAAAAATTTTAAATAATTTCTATCGTATATTAAAATCTAACTTTGTAAGTTAAATAAATCAAACGCAATAAAGGTTATCCTTTTAAATTTAGGATTTTAAAATATCATTAATCGATTATTGTCAGAACAAATGGAATATTTACAATGAAGATTCTTGCGATTGATAGTTCCTCGCTTGAGCTTCTTGCCTCACCTCGTGCATTTGATTCGCCTGGAAGGGGAAAAAGAAAAATAAAAGAAAACGAATAAAAAAGATATAAATTCGAATGCGCCGATCGAACGCGCCTCGTCTCACGAGTTCTAATACGTGAGATTTCTTTTTCTCCTCCCACCCTCCCCTCCGACCCTCCCCGCCACTACCATTATTTCTTCCTACCAAAAGCAATGTCATTTCAAGTTTGAAATTTTTCCTACAAAAGTGATTCCTCGGAATCCCAGAAAATGATTCTCTTTCGAAGAGGGCAGTGGACGGCTAATGGCTCGAGGCGGCTGTAAGAGCGAAGCGCGTGTGCGCTTAAGCCACACATGGAATTTCAAAGTTGTCGGACTGAATTCTCCGGTTCTTAGGAAGGGATGCGCTTGGAATAACAACGCTTTGCCTGGTGCAAAGCGAGAGAAAAAGAAAGAAAGAAAGAAAGAAAGAAAGAAAGAAAGAAAGAGAGAGAGAGAGAGAGAGAACCTAGCGTGGCTCTCTCAAGCATAGGGCCCTAAAGCAACGTATCGTGCATACGGAAAAAGCTTTTCTGACTTATGACTCTCTACGGATACCCACCGTCAGGATTACGCGCATTTCAAAGATAAAAAATGATTATTTTTGCCCCCAGAGAAGAGGCCGAAAAACGTCATCCCAACGGCCATCCTTTACGAAATTCACGATCTTAACAACGTAAGTCCATCCTTCTCATCATTTCTGATATGACGATCCATAATTCCGAAGTTCCGAAGCGAGAACCCTTGAGTTTCTATTTTTTTTTCTTTTTTATTTTTTAACTTTCTCAAGTTAATCCACTTATTAATCCACCTATTCTTTTTTTTATTTTATAATTATGTAAATGTAACTACACACATACGTAGCCACGTGTATGTAATTATGTCCTCAAAGAGATATGCAGATGCTTTAGTTCTTTTCTTTTCTTTTTTTCTTTTTCCTTTTTTTTTTCTATTTTCTATTTCATTTTTCTTTTTTTTTTCCAAAGCACTAACCAACTAAACTAAATTCCATGTTACAATGGGTATTCACTTTTTCATATTACTATTACCATTATTATCTTTCGTAAGACCATGTTAATAACACACAGTCTAGTACTATATTATAACGCAACTGGAGAAATTTAATATAGTAGAGAGGCAGAAAGGATTGCGTTAATGAAAGGATATTGTAACATGTTCTCAGCGAGTTGGTGATAAAAATCTGAAAGAAAGCCTACATATCTCTCTTTCTCTCTCTCTCTCTCTCTCTCTCTCTCTTTCTCTCTCTCTCTCTCTCTCTCTCTCTCTCTCTCTCTCTCTCTATGTCTGTCTGTTTGTCTGTCTGTCCCTCTCTCTGGCTCTGTGTCTATTTCTTTCTTGTCCGCCTACAAATAAAACCATTCTCGAACAATTAGTTTCACGTGGGTTTAACTATCGATCGTGATTTTAACAAATAGATTTTCGTACGTAAAGGAATCACGGATGATTCATTAATTAAAATTGCGCTTTTCTATTATGAACAATTAATTATTCCGAAATTAGCGATTTGTTCGTTCTAACAATACACGTGAAGGTGTTGGAAAGGAAAATAGATGATTTTTGTTAATATCTCTTCTTACCTCTTGTACCCAAGCCTGCTGCTTGATAGGAGCATCCGGTGCAATCGCTACTCTTCCGGCAGTCCTCTGTTTGTACTCGTGAAGAATCGGAATCTTTGAATTCTTGTCTCCCGATGAAAGGACCACCTCTCGTTCTATCTGCAATTAGAAATGTTGAAATTCCTCTTACTTATCATATTTCTATTTCTATTTTTATATCTAAAATAGAAAATTAAAATTTAATATTGAATTTATCGACATTTTCCTTTTTTATTGTACGAATACAATAAACAAGGATATGTATTCACACGTATTTTTTTTATTGTATTTAATTTATTAAATTTAATTGGATTTAACTTATTAATAAATGCAATTTTTTTTTCCTTATAATATCTCTTGTATTGTATACACAATAGGTAATATTATTAACACGATATACACAGTGACGAATTTATGTACAAGCGAAGGAGATGTTTGTTTTGGATTCCATAAAACAGAGATTTTCCAATACTAAATAAATTTAACAATATAAATTTATATTATATAACATATTTCATTGAATAATCTATTGGCCGATATATAATATTTATTTCAATATTTCTGATTATAATCGTATTTAAACGATTTATTTCACACTTCGTCATTTGCATAAACAGTTGAAACGAGAAAATATATAATATGCATAATTAATTTACTTCAATGGGGTCCCCAAAATTTGTCAAGCACCTCAGGCAACTTGAAAGTTAAATCCGCCAATATATATATATATATATATATAAAACACAGTTTATATCATTGGACTAATCAAAGACAGCATATAAATTGTTAAAAAAGAAAAAAAGGGAAAAGGAAAAAAATAAAGGAAAACAAATAATATCCATAATTTCACTAATTTCAAAGATAAAATCTGAGATCCGTTAATTCGACGAGTTCCGTAAAAGAATCTAGTATTAAAGGAAAAAAGAGGGAGGGAGAGAGAGAGAGAGAGAGAGAGAGAGAGAGAGAGAGAGAAAGAGAGGAAAAGGAAAAAAGAGAAAGAAGAAAAAGAAGAAGAAGAAAAAGTAAAAGGATAAATAAGCTTAACACCGAGTTTATTCTAATTAAATGACGAGAGGAAGAAACGTGCGTGCAACGAAGAGTTACAAAGTAAATTTTGAGGAGACGCCTAGCGTACGTGTGTTGTTGAATGGTGAAAGGCAGTGAATTCCAATAAAGAGAGAGAGAGTGAGAAAGAGAGAAAAAAAGAAAGAGAGAGAGAGAAAGAGAATGAAAAAGATAGAAAATGAGAGACAGAGAAAAAGAGAGAGAGAGAGACAGAGAGAGAATGAAAAAGATAGAAAATGAGAGACAGAAAAAAGAGAGAAAGAGAGAGAAAATAAAAAAGAGAAAATGAGAGACAGAGAGAGAAAGAGAAAGAGAGAGAGAGAGAGAGAGAGAGAGATTCTTCGCTCCAGGAACATGAAAACGGAAGGAACGAGATCGTCGCGACGCGTACATATTTTTGTTTTCTCATTGGCATTCGAGATCTCTCTTGACAATGTTAATGCGAGAAAAGACGAGGATGCACATGCGCTCCTTACCGAACGATTCGATCGGAAGGTACTTCTTGCTTCCATTCCCATGATACACGAGGAGTCCCTCGGAGATACATCGAGACTAACCTCGACGTGTGTTCCATATACAGGGTGTTCCATTAACCGTTCTTAAGGATCAAACAAGAGTCTTACAGAATGTAGGTTAATCGATCTTTTCTAACTTATTGAATGTCGAACATTCTTAAAATGTTGATAAATATTATTCAATAAATATAAAAATGATCGTCTAAGTTAAATAGAAATAAACAATTTGAAATACATTCTGTTAGAATATAGAGATTTATTTAGTTCTTTAAATCTTACATAAGAGATTTCTAATTCGAAGTAATGATGTTAGCTCGGACAGATAATATATTTTTATTTATATTTCCTTTTCTTTTCTTATTTTTTTAAATTTCTTTTTTCTTTTTCCCCCTCTTCCGTCAACTATCATTAATTTTATTTGAAAAACTTTCTTTTTTAAGTTGACGTTAACCGAAGGTACACCCCATAGAAAGATACATCTTGTGCGTAGGTGTCACCGAACTGAGATATACTACTTCGCTTTAAAAGCACTTAACCGTACACGACCGAAAAAAAGTGCGAACTCTTCTGTTTCCGAGATTATCGCATAATGGAAAATCATGTAGGAAATATGACGTTTATGGACAATTAGAATGCGAATGAGTGTACGATCTTATATGTGCGAAAATAACTCTAGTTTTAATACGTTTAACTCGCTCACTCATACATTTTTATGTTACTATGAGAAGTATGTTAAAGTCCCTTCAATTTGCTATCTCTTTTCAATGATAGAATAATCCAGGAAAGCTTTACCGTTGTCGGACGTAATTTCCATCGTAACGCGATTACCTCCATGGACGGATAAAGATCTTCTTTTTTGCGGTTGGTGCGGAATAACGCACTATGTTGCATTATAATTTCGACAAATACGTAGATGGGGAAGTTCCATATTTGTTTCGCGCGAGTTTTATTTCCGGAATATGAAAGATCAAGAAATCCGGGGAAACACGTTTGTTAATGCGATTACTCGAATCTCCATAATGCGATTACTTCAAACGTCTGATTTTTTTTTTTTTTTTTTTTTTTCGATAAAATATTTATACAACGTAAGGGAAATCATTTTAGAGATCACGATATTTCTTTTTATTTTCCCTTTTTTTTTTTTTTTTTTTTTTTTTTTACATTAACACGTTGAATGAGAAGGGCATTGAATTATGCAGATTTTATTTAATAGATTTTTTGATCGCATTTAAACGATTAAAACTATACTTTTTTAATAATATATTAAAAATTATTATAATGAATTCTGTAATTTTTATCTACAAAAAGTTATGAAAATTATCGTTAATACATCGAATGTAATTCAAATAATGCTAGTCTGAATAAATTCAAACTCTGAATTTTATGAATTTTATTATCCTTCCTTTTTCTTTTTTTCTTTTTTTTTTCTTTAAAATTTCTTTCATCGTATTTGAAAGATTCAAAGTTTCTTTAACAATACTAAAAAAACGTGACAATGATTTATATAATATTTTTTATTTATTTTATCTAAACTAATAATACACGTATTGATTTAAAATCTTTTAGATATAAAATTATCCAACGAACTAGAAGATTGCGAGCCTGATAAAATAACGTTGATAATTAGAACGAACGATGACAAAGAAGAAGAATTCGAGGAGAGTTTAAAGAAACGATTAAAAACGTAGGAAAGTCGATGATACGTCAGACTATTCATTGATCGCGATCTTCTACTCGATTTCTTCTCGCCTTCGGGGACTCTTATAGAAAAGTGGTCTATCTGAACGGCTATCACAACACTTCTGGCTTCCGGTAAACGGTAATAACGACCGTATGATGCACCTCCCTCTCACCCCTTCTCCCTTCACTACTTCGTACCAATGTAGTCCTCTCTGAGAATCTTCCCAAGAGTCTACGTACCAACATACAATGAACTACTATTTGAAGATTTCACTTGGAGTCCGGTGTCCGCGTTTAATTCGATCATTCGTACCTTTGTAGTACATATGTATGTAAGTACATATATGAGCGAATTCACGACGATGTGATATGGAAAAAAGTATTATATGTAAGTACATATATATATATATATATATTATATTATATTATATATATATTATATTATATTATATATATATATTATATTATATTATATATATATATATATATAAAATATATATATGAACACGTGGGATTTCTCGATTTATTTTAATTTTGCATGTGCGAATAAGTATGAACGAGTAACATACGAGAAAAAGAAAAAAAAGAAAAAAAAGAAGAAAAAAGAAAAAAAAATTATAATTTCTTAAGTGAAGAAAAATCTCGAGTTGTTCGGGAATGTTATATCTATCTACCTACTTGCCAACCTACGTATAGTATAATATAGTCGTGATCTTACGGTGGTTTTACGGGAGCTCTTGAAATAAAGAAAATAAAATTATCATATCGTCTCGATAATAATTTCACTTGCGGTTATCGAGGCTGGCAGTAAAATTTAGCGACACACGGTCGAGTTTGCTCGTTCGGAAATATATATATATATATATATATATATATATATATATATAAGTTTGGATATATTATATATATATATATATATATATATATATATATAAAAGAAAGGAAAAAAATAGAAGAAAAGAGAAGAAAGGATCGTAGAGAGATACGAATACGGTTGACGTCGTAGGGTATATCGTGTCGTAGGTGCTTCTCCTCATATATGCATGGAGAGACACACAGATAATATATACACATACTCGTCTCCGTTCGTAAGCATGTAGAATAAATGGAGTCGGTCTCTCGTTAATTAACTTACCGCACCATCCATGACGCGTACTACCACCTATGTTACTCTTTACGTACTATCTCTCCTTCCTTCTTTTTTCCTTTTTTTTTTTTTTTTACTTTTTCTTTTCTTTCTTTAATCTTTCGTTTTTTCTTTTCCATCGAAATAAAAAAGAGTCCAAAGATCGTAAAAATTTCTCGTTGAAATTTATCTTCGTCGAGATAAGATTTCTTTATTTCTCCTTTCATTTTTTTTTTTCTTTTCCTTTTATTCCACATTAATTCTATCTCGTTTTAAAAATTGTCCTCGTCGAGATTTCACGATAATATGTTTCTAATGAGTTCTTGCGAACGAAGATTTCAATCGATACATTCATTTACAAGAAGCATACACTTACCGGAAACTTGCTACTGTGAGTCTGCAGACTGGCCGCCTGTTGAGCCTGACTCGAACTCTGTTCCTCTCCATAGAGCGGTGGCATCCTGTATTCCGGTGCAAAAGGAATTTGCCCGGAATTTCGGATCTCTGTCCCAACGTGATTCGCGTCTCTTCTTTCTGTACCGGAAGTTGGTACTTGCGGATGTGCTAAGGCTACCGCCCGCCGATCGTCCCACTGTAGTCCGTTCTGTTTTTTCTGATTGTTCGGCACCGGTTTCGGTGGTGGTATTGCCTTGTAAGGTCCCTCCTCATCTGCAACGACGACAAACAAGAACTCGCTTTATTTTATCTCCAATTAAATTAACGTATTCATGCCCTTTTTTTTCTTTCTGTTTTCTTTTCTTTTCTTTTCTTTTCTCTTCTGTTTTTCTTTTTTTTTTTTTTTTTTTATTGTCATAATAAACTTGCGTATATTTATCGAGAAATATTTATACACCGTCGATTCATTCCATATTTTTTTCCCTACATTTTATTGCGTAACGTCTGTTTGTAAATATATATATATATTGTTTAGCATTATTATTTAGCGTTATAAAACTTTAATATTCATTGTCGCATGCAAAGAGAATATCAACGGAACACAATATATACATATGCACAAAAATATACACAGAGAGAAAGAGAGGGAGAGAAAGAGAGAAAGAAAGAAAGAGATAGACACACACACAGATAGACACAAATGTCATGCGCGTACACGCAAAACACATGTACCTTGATTCTGATTCTGTCGCCTAAGACGATTCTCCTGCTTTACTTTGCGAACAGTAGTGGCCATCGCGTGTTGGCTGACCATCTCTGAAGGGTGGTTTCATGAACGTACAGATCTCCTCTTCCTCCCCCCACTCTCACTCTCCTTACAAACGAATCCTTCGCACTCGCTTGAAAGCACGCGAGCTTCCCCTTATCACTTTTCGCGCCTCGTGAAAGATAGAACGAAACGATGCGTTAAAACGTATATATATTCGAACACGATTTTTCTCTAATACTATAAGATTCGAAGGATATAATCGATTTATTTCTTCTTTTTTCTCTCTTTTTTTTTTTTTTTTTTTTTTTTTTTGCTTTTTCTTTTACCGTTTTTCTGTTTTATTAAAGCGTTTTCCCTTAAAAACCGAAAGGTTCCTCAGATCGAAGAACAATGTGACCACTTCTCGAGCGTACTGAAAGAAGTCTAACTTTCCATTGAGTGAACGTCTGGTTCCGCCATTCTGACTTCACTTCCGGTATCGTCCCACCACGCCACGAGAAATCATTACGAACTGCGGAGGGAGAACGATCGAGCTGAGGAAAGAGAAAGAGTAAGAATAAGAGAAAGAGTAAGAGAAAGAAAGAGAAAGAGGGAGAGAGAGGGTGGGAGGAAGATGGACGTAGCGGAGAAAGAAAGGAGACTCGTCGAGGATGAAAAGAGGAAGGAGACATGGTGGGAGTGAGTGAGTGAGTGAGAGAGAGAGAGAGAGAGAGAGAGAAAGAGAAAGAGAGAGAGAGAGAGAGAGAGAGAGAGAGAGATAGAAAAAGAGAAAGAGAGAAACAGAGAGAGAGAGAAAGAGAATGAAAGAGAAGAGACACAGACGCCGAGATAATTTATTCCAAGTCCATACTCAGCCGGACTCCGTGGCGCGCGTCGGACGAATATCAAGCTGCCGCTACTGTCACCGGTCAGACGATCTCTCGATCCTCGATAGATCTTCTGGTACAGCAAGAAGAAGGTACTTACATATATACACTCAAACATATATATATATATATATATATATATATATATAATGTATATATGCGCCAAAGTAAGAAAGAGAGAGAAAGAGAGAGAGAGAGAGAGAAAGAGAGAGAGAGAACGTGTGCCATCTCGCGTACTCCACTTTCTTGATCTCTTTCCAAGAAGAAGAGGACCGATCGAAGCTTCTACTTTTCTCCGTGAGTTCTTCTTGATATTCGAAGAGTCTTTATTTCGAAAATTTATCGCTTTAAATAGAATCTTACGAAATTCTATCCTTGACGCGTTTCTCTCGACGATGTAATATTGAATATCTTTTTCTTTCTTCTGGCTTTTTCTTCTTTCTCTCTTTTATTTATTTTTTTTTCGTCCTTTTTTTTCTTCTTTTTCTTTTTTTTTTTTTCTTTCTTTCTTTCTTGGAAGAAAGGAAGAGAAAAGCCAGAGGATCATGTTAGAAGAAATTTGAATATGTTTAGAATTAATTCAACGAGCCAGATAAGGATAACTCGTTCAAAGTTAAACAACTTTTATCGAAGTTTCTAATTGGGTTTTAATTAATTTTATTTGCAAGTGTCTCATTTAAATTGAATAAAATGGAAATCAAATTATGTGGATATAAAAGGGAGAAATCTTGTATTAGATTTGATTTGATTAAACGTAAAAGATATTCAATCGGAGACAACTCAAAGAAGAATTCAAATAACGATATACTCAACGAATAATGAATTCTAATAGAATATAAATTCAAATTAGATTACTAATCGATTATTATAGAATCTTAAGAAGACGAGAAAGGATTGGACAGGTTACAGAGTAGTGGTTAGGTTGGGAGGAGTGAAAATTATTCTTTTCCTTTTTTGCACAGACTCGATCGCGAGAAGGAACACGAAACATGATAACGATGCTTTCGTCCGATAAGATATCAATGAACAATGGTACATAAAACGCAGAATGGCCGTTAACGAAGGCCAACGTTCTTCAAGAAAACGAGAGAGAGAAAGAGAGAGAGAGAGGGAGAGAGAGAAAGAAAAAAAAAGAGGCAGAGAAAAAGAGGGAAAGAAAGAGAGAGAAAGAAAAAAAAAAGAGACAGAGAAAGAGAGAGAAAGAAAAAAGAAGAGACAGAGAAAGAGAGGGAAAGAAAGAGAGAGAGACAGAGAGAGAAGAAAATAGGAAGCCATCGGCCTGCAACGAAGAAATCCTTCGCTCTTTTCCTATTTTCTCCCGCTCTCGTACCTCTTTTCCACGAGACTCGTTTCGCGCTTCTCTCCCGTCTTTATTTCTCTCTTTTTCTCTCTCGTGTTCACCTGTGTAACACGCTCAAGCACGAGTACACGCGCCAAGGAGAGGGGAATCACGCATGGTTGAATCGTTTAAACGTCTCCTACCTTTCGAGTCGTTCTAGCTCTTATGTTAGAGTTTTACTACGTTCTCTACCTATAGGGTTGAATATGTGGATCACTGTAGAAGTCTTTCTCTCTTTCTTTTCTTTTTTTTTCTCTTTTTTTCTTTCTACCTTTCTTTCTTTATCGATCAAGCTTACTCCAACGTATTTTCTCACGACACACGACTCGGATGCGTCATCTTCCTCTCTTTTTCTCTTTCTTTCCCCATTGCTTCGTATTCGAAGGAACCCTTCGAAAGAGTGGACAACACTTGTGTCTTCCGTTTCTCTCTCTCTCTCTCTCTCTCTCTCTCTCTCTCTTTTCTTGTTTTCGCTCCCTTTCCTTCTCTTTCTTTCTCCCCATTTGTCAGTGTACCTCGAACTTAAGGACTTTGTCACAGGATGTGAAAACGTCCTAAATCTTGGCCTTCCTGTTTTCTCCATGACCTTGAATAAAATTTCTCTCGATATATTCCAAAGATATTACTATTTCCGTCTACCTTTTATCCTTGTATTCTTTACCGGAAAATATTATACTTCTTCGTCATTTTTTCTCATAGAAGACATCGAGGTTATGACGGTTTTATCTCCTTTCCCTTTCTCATTTTTTCATATAAAAAAAAAAAGAACATAAATAAATAAACAAATAAAAAAAAAAAGAAAGAAAAGAAATACAGGAAAAAAAATATGATCATCATATTCCGAAACGATTGCCTCAAAGGGAAGAAATGAGAATTTTCCCCCTTAACTTTTCCCTTCGCTTTTTAAATTACGACTCGTTCGGATAACAGCCTTTTCCGTATCGCGAAATAACAAGCTGGCGTGATGATATCGATCGCATATCCTAGCCGTAAGCAGGCGCAATAAAAATCGCAATCGTAATCGCAATCGCAATCGCTCGTCTTTCGATGATTTGTTATTTCTTTTCTAGTGTCATTTATTCGATTCGCGATCTCGACTAAATTTTACCAATCGATTGAAGAAACTACTGCTTATCCTTTTCTCTCTGTCTCTCTCTTTCTCTCTCTCTCTCCCTCTCGCTCTCTCTCTTGCTCTTTCTCTCTCTCTCTTCCTCTCGCTCTCTCTCTTTCTCTTTCTCTCTCTTCAATACTCGGACTCGACGGAGCTGCGAGCAATTTCTTTCTTTCTTTCATTTTTATCTTCTTTATCCTTTTTTATCTCTTTTTTTTAATCATTTTCTTTTCTTTTCTTTCTTTTTCTTTTTCTTTCTTGTCTTTTACTTTATCATCTCATTGAACGGGATATGAAGTAAAAGAGAGAGAGAGAGAGAGAGAGAGAGAGAAATGAACGAAGAGATAAAATGCAATAAAGTATTTGTAAAAAGTCGTATTTCGTAGCTACTCGCCATTAAATAATCACGTAGTATAGAATCGTAACCCCGTATCGCTACGTTGTTACTCTCTCGCGATTGATGCTTTTGCAGACACGATTATATTAGTACATACTGTGTATATAACTTGACATACTAAACGTGTGTGCGTACTCACGAACGGTCAATGTGATGTTCACCAATATCAGTTGAAAGAAAGAGAGAAGGAGAGAGAGAAAGAGAGAGAGAGAGAGAGAGTGGGAGAGAGAGACAGAAAGAACGTGAGAGTTTCGGTGTGAACCGAGCTTTCTCCTTCGAATCCAACGCGTGACGTTGTTCGCCTCTGGGCAACACCTGAATAGCCAATTTTTTTCTCGTGATCATGGTAAATTCATCGCGTTCACTCGTCTCTTCTTAACACCGACGACGATTTTTCGATTTTTCGTAACGTAATTTGAATAAAAAGAAAAAAAAAGAGGAAAAAAAAAGAGAAGAAAAAAAAAAGAGAAGAAAAAAGAAGAGAAAAGAAGGAAAAAAGAGAAAGAACAAAAAGTAAGGAGAAAAATGGAATTCTCACGATATTTCGATATAACGATATACATATATATACATACACATATATATATATTATATATATATATATATATATATACATATACATATATATATATTATTATATATTTATATATATATATATATATATTGATTCTCAAGATCGAGATGTACATTAGACAGGTATGTTGTTACGTTTCTTTGCGGTAAGTAATGCTCGTGTAACACCGTCCTGTGGTTAGTAGGAAAACACTTTCGCGCGATTCTTCGATGGGAATATCACGACAACATCGGTGGATCTTGATCTTGGAGATAAGTTTAACAACGGGGAGTCGAAGGCTTGTTGACGGTTTTTTAAATATCTCTCTGATCGATTTTTAGCGGATATTATTATTAAAATGATAACTAGTGTTAGGAAAAATAAAAGAGAAAAAAAGAAAAAAGAGTAGAAGGGATAAAAAAGGAACAAGAAAATTGAGAAAATCGAATCGATTAAAAAATAATGCGATTCGAAAAAGTCTTTGAAATCTTAATTAAATAAATGTAATAAATCATTTTTTTTTTTTTTTTTTATTTATATTATAAAAAATATTCTCTCGTTACGATCATCTTTCCTATGAATTTCCTATGTATTTAACTCATGAATTATATTCACACATATATACCGTATATACATTATACATTATTAACATATTAATAATAGTATAATCAAATACATTTATCTATAAATTTTTTTCTAAACAATCGATTAAAAGCTTCTCAATGGCCATCATTAAATATCAAAATCGAAACAATAAATGTGAAATTGTAAAAAAGACGAAAGATATAAATAAGAAAAGAAAAACAGACAATTGATATTGAAATCAAAGATTTTCTCGATCAGTTTAACGCGCTTCGAGTAGCTCATTGCCGGCTCATCTCTTCGTCGTCTCACTTCCGTTTTTATTTTGCTCCTATTTCGTACGACGTACGTTCCTTCTCCCTCTCTCTTTTTCTCTCTCGCTTTCTGTCCTTCTTTCTCTCTCATTTTATCCTGCAGGTTCTCTCCTCTCAACTCGTCGTCTTTCCCTCCTCTCATCTCGTTTTTCTTTTTCTCCGTGCGCTACAAACGGCCTTTGAATAGCGTCTAGTTTTTGCCGAACAACTAGTTTCACCGAGGGTTTTCATTCTACGCTATCGACGTAGCCGAGCGTCCTTCGTCTCTTTCTCGCATCGAGAAGCGCCGTGAGAATGAATTCTTTCTTTTAAAATGAATTATACTACAAGCCATTACATGATTTCTTTAAAAAAAGAAGAGAAAAAAAAAA